GTCTTGGTCGGTGACCGCTTCACAACCGAGAAGACATTTTGAACTGTCACCGTTGTAAAACTACAAATATCATGTTAGTTCTGTGTCTTTCTTTAAAAAAACAACATCCTTAATAACATCGCCCTACTGTCGTGTTGGGTACGTGTAATTAATTTAAGTTCTGGTAACGAAAATGGCTGGCATAACCAGAATTTTCGAAGTTCTCCGACGAGATTTCTACTGAAACGTGGATGAGGAATGTAAACAATGCCACAGTAATGAAAACATTTACATAACCTGCACTATCAAACCCTCAAGGCATTAAGTACCAACATCGCTAATTAATTTGTGTGCTTCTAATTTGGCTCTGAAGTCATATTACTGAAGTGATCACAAAATATGAAGGTGGCGACAGTATGTTGCTCCGAAGGCTTAACAGCCGAGAAGACCAAAACTGACATCTTTACCGGAGTGAGAACATTAAATATCCATGATATTATGGAGGAATTTGGCGGTACATCTAGTATGTATTAAAATTTTTAAAAAAAATACGCACAGAATTGTATTATAAAATGCAAAAGTAGGAAACATAGATGGGCGATACAAAAATGAATCCTAAATATGGTATATGTGGGTTTGGGATAATTTTATCTGGCACACGATGTGGACCAGCGGTGGGATATTGTAAACACTGTCATTAATCTCTGAGTACCACAAAGGTGAGGAATTTCTTGAGTAATTTAGTGATCATTAGTGTCTGAAGAAATACTGGTATATTATACCAATTATATATATCAAAGAGTAGAAATTATAAGCTCTTCATTACACAATTTTCTCCTGCCTCCTTTCTCTAAGTTAGATTAATACAACTTCCTTAAAGCAATCCGTTCTTCAGTGACAGACCAAGATGAGCTTCTTAAAGTTCAAACGTAAACCCAGAAAGAAAAAGCAGCTGGAATTTTCTGAAACACCTGTAAGACAGTAGTCACCAGACGTCTTCGAGCTGTCAGCACGCGGCGAGCAGGGTAACGGGAGCGGTAATGCGCGCGCATCAACATACATTTAAAAAAAAAAACCTTTCCGTTATCTCCACAGTTCGAGATACGCATGACACCAAGATCTCACAATAAGAGTGGCGGTAATAATGATGGTTGTGCGTCAAGGAGATACAACAGAGTTATTCATAATAAGGATCAATAAATAATTAGAACGGTCGAACCACAACAGTCAATGTTTTTTAAACAGCTGCCGCAGCACCGGCCGCTACGAATCTTTACCTGACCGTGCCGAATCAATTGTGGCCTGGAAACTAGGGACCGCAGCCCGCAAGGCGTCTGGGAGCTACTGTAAACACAACTGGCAGACATGGCTAACTCCGTTGTCTGTCGGTAGACTTACTAGCCTTTTGAACAACGCATACATTTTCGGGAAATAGGTGAATTTTGACGTTATATGTATATACAAAGATTAAATAGGGGTGACTTCATACATTTTGAGCGTCTAACGAATGTTGCATGCGATGTTCAGGGGAAGCTCAAGTCCCTTAGTGATTCGGATAAAAATCAAAATCATGTGAACATAAGGATAAATGGCGCTTAGGCAAAGAATGACAAGAAGTTTCGTTCGAGAAAATCACCATTTACCAGTTTTACGTCCAGTGCTTTGCGTTAAGTCTGAACCATCAATGAGGCTTGCTGAATTAAACCCATTGGAAACTGCAAGACAATTTTTGCCAAGTTTTTTAAAATTCTTTATTTTCTGTCCGTGACAATAAGTTACAATGTGATATATCATTTTAATACTATGTCTAAATAGATGTTTTTATAAACCCCCCACACAGAACTCAATATTTAAAATAGCAAAGAAGTAACGAATGAAGTATCATTAATGCCAAGACGTCTACCGTCCACAGACCAGGTGAGAAGCCCTGCGAGGGGAAGTCGTTTCTGGGGCAGTGCAGGGGGGATGTTTACTATCAAGTGGACTAGAGCAGTGGTATTCAACCTTTTTTGTTCGCATACCACCAGATATAATTTCTCTTCCAACTTTGTACCCCCAAAGTTGTTGGTGTATAATTCAAGTTATACGTAGTATATAATCTACATCTAAAATAAATTAAATAAATTACATTATTGATTACTAAGTGTTTATCATAAAATAATATATATTTTTTTTAAATTTCACGAACCCCCTAAGCTGTCTTCGCGTACCCCCGGGGTACGCGTACCCGAGGTTGAATACCACTGGACTAGAGGGCTGCTATTGGTGGGAAGTGTGATACGTCAGAGTTTTACGCTACTACACACAGACTGAAAACATCAAGCAGTTAAAGAGTATGGCGTGATGAGTGCACCTCTAATGTGTTCTGTGGGTGTTGTGATAATATTCACTGTGCCATTATGAGGTAATCTTAAAGCTGTATCCATTAGAACACATGAAAGCCTGTCGTCTGTTGCTCGTTCAGTGGTTGTGGAACGCATGCTTTTAGGATGGGTCGTCACTCACCGCGAAATCTTGCGCATGCGCGTATATCGAATTCCTAGCAGGGATTTTCTCCTGGTCTGTGGACTGTACATATTCGATTAAAATAATAGACATATTTCTTTATATTGAGCTAAATTTCTGTTTTAAAAAGAACCCGACAGTTTCAGTTACACTATCAAATACAAATGGACGCAAAACCTACCTGTAAATAGACAGCTGGCTCCGCTTAAGTGTGAAGTAGCAGCAGCGCTGTAAAAAGCTGTTTATTATCTGCGACGTCTAACCTTGTTAGAGGAAACTGGGACATGTTCTAGCTCTGTCAGGTCATTGCGAAGCGTACAGCATACACTGCTGAGTTCAACCCTATGGTTGCGATGGTTCAAGGTAGTAATGATGGCTATTCTCCAAAAACACTTGTACAAATAATCACAAACACTGTCTTCCCTGTATACGCTATGTTGTTGCTGTACTGCCATAGGGGATCATGACTCAGCAACAGACATGCGCAAAAGATTATGCGATCGTCGGACGTCGGTAATGTTCGACTGCGTTCGTAGTGACGGTACTCTAGTTCTACTGCAATACCAGAGAACACATCGATTGCTCGAGCGGAAGGTATGCGCACTTCTTTGGGGACAATAATTGTTTCCGATAGAACAAAGATGTTTTATTTCAGCATACGTGGGAAGATGGAATGAGAAAATTTATAATTTATACTCTATCACATATTATCAGGGTGGGAGAATGTAGCATGCATGGTAAAGATAAGAAATACACATATCATTTTGGTCAGAACCTTAAAGGTGGAAACCAGTTGACAGAATTAGGTCATAAAACTCAACTCAGAAAGGATCAAAACATGCCAATTGTTTTTTTCCGTGTAAAAGACTTGATCACGTGTCTCGAAATTGTAAAATTAGATCTATTCACATAATCATTTTGAGATTTAAACTCAGGTATCTTGATTTACGTACAATACATTACCATTTGAAAAACAGTTGTATAAATCACTCTGAGGCATGAAAAATAATAATTATATTCGGAGTCTGAAGGTTTCTGACAATGGTGCTTTATAATATGTAAAATTCCTCTTTTGCATTTCGTCCATAGTCTAAAATTATAAAATTATGAACCCTTTTGTACCTGAAGACGGAAGCAGAATTCAATATTCGCAATTTGTTGTTTTATAATTTTATGGCAACCGAAATATTTGACAAAACAATGGATGACGTTTAACATTTGAAGATACAGAGGTTATTTACGATAGAGTGAGCAGTGTTTTGTTTCTATTCGGTGACGACTGATGATATTTTGACATGAGCATATAAAGCGTAATTTTCGGAATATGAATGAGATAATAAAGATACGAGGTGCGATCGGAAAGTTTCAAGACTGCGCCTATAAAAACCCGTACACTTATCTCGGGTATTAAATTCATCCATCACCCACGAAGTAGTTCCCCTGGGAGTAAACACAACGATCCCAACGCCGCTGCCAAGCCTGGAAGCATCCCTGGAAATCTTTCTTTGTCAGCCTGTCAAGCACCATCTGCGATTCTGCCTGAATCTCTTCTATCGTCTCAAATCTCCTTCCCTTTAGCTGAATTTTCATCTTTGGGAAGAGGAAGAAGTCACACGGAGCTAAATCCGGCGAATAAGGAGGGTGCGGGATGACGGCCATGGTGTTTGAGGCCAAAAACTGCCGAACATTGAGGGCGGTGTGCGCTGGCGCGTTGTCATGATGCAGCAGCCAGTTGTGGTTGCGCCACTTTGACGGCCGCTTTTAATACCTGAGATAAGTGTACGGGTTTTTATACGCGCAGTCTGGAAACCTTCCGATCGCACCTCGTACAAAGATTATTCCTTTTCCAAAATGGGAAACTGGAACATGTCTACATAGTCAGTGAAATCTTAAAATTATTCATTGTCAGGACTTTTTCCATCGTCTATTCTTTACAAGCACGACGTTTCGGAGGCTGGTTGTCTCCGAAAAGTCGTGATTTTAAAGAAAAAAGATGGAAAAAGTCCTGACAATGAATAATTTTAAGTGTAAACTACCATCGTCAAAACCCTTTAGAGCAGTGAAATCTTGCCAGAGTGCTATAATCTGAAACCATCCTGCAAACGCAAGTAATTATGTGATATAAACGCAACACGATAGCGATATATAGGCTTAATACTGATTCAGCACACTTCTCCATTAAGATTGATACATATTTTTCAAATTCCACCCAACACGTCATATAAAAATATCAAGTTAGCGCGTTCAACCAAATAAAACAGGATTGACTGTGGTGTAGGCCTGTAGATTATGTAATGTCATTAATCACAAGATGGCTGTCTTCTGGGTTGTCGCGCCGTGTAGTATGGTAGAAGTCCTTCCTGCCTCCATCTTCTCTGTCA